TTCATATGTAGGCCTACCAGCTTTCTCTCACTAGATTTGAGGGCGCTAGAATTTAGGCATACTAGTACGTCATGGACACTGGTGCGTAAGCCGTACTAGTACGGCCGAAACCCTGAAAGGGTTAAAGTGCAGGCACTGTACTTCCCACCTCCAGGACTCATGTCCTGCTAACCAGTTTCCCTGAATCCCTTCACAGAATATTACTCTACTCCTACTCCAATAGCTCGCCAAGTCCCAAAAACCATTCGTCTCCATTAACTCCTATCTAACACGCTCACACATGCATTCTGTATGTCCAGCCCCCTTGCACACAAAACCTCTTTTACTCTCTCCCTCCCTCCTCTCCTAGGATGACCCCTACCCCTCCTCCCCTTCACTATAGATTTAGACACCCTCCAAGTTATCCTACTTTGTTCCATCCTCTCTAAATGACCAACCCACCTCAACACCCCTTCCTCAGCCCTCTGAATAATACTTTTAGTAACTCCACACTTCCTCCTAATTTCCACACTTTGAATTTTCTGCATAATATTTACACCACACTTTGCCCTTAGACATGACGTCTCTATTGCCTCCAGCCTTCTTGCTGCAGCATATACAACTTGTGCTTCACACCCATGTAAGAGTGTTTTTACCCCTATGCTCTATGGATAACATTCTTTGTCTCCACAGATACCTCAATGCACTACCCACCCTTTTTTCTACATCATTTCTATGGTATACCTCATCCTTCATAAACACATCCACTGACAAGTCAACTTGCAAATATCTGAACACATTCACTTCTTCCATACTACCTCCCTCCAGTGTGATATCCAATTTTTCTTTACCTAACTCATTTGATACTCTTATCACCTTACACTTATCTATGTTCATTTTGAACTTTCTTTACTCACCTCCCATACCCATCCACTGACCTTTGCAACCAACAGTGTCATCAGCAGAAAGCAACTGTGTCAACTCCCATTTCATATTTGATTTCCCACAATTTAATCCCTCTCCTCTCCCCAACACCCTAGCATTTACTTCTTTTACAGCCCCATCTATAAATATGTTAAACAATCATGGTGACATTACACATCCCTGTCTATGGCCTACTTTTACTGGAAAGTGATCTCCCTCTCTCCTGCACACCCTAACCTGAGCCTCACTATCCTCATAAAAACTCTTTACAGCATTTAGTAACTTACTATCTCTTTCATACACTTGCAACATCTGCCACATTGCTCCCTATTCACCCTACATATGACCTTTCTAAATCCATAAATGCAACAAAAACCTCCCTCCCTCTATCTAAATATTGTTCACTTATATGCTTCAATGTAAATGCCTCCTTGTTCATCTATGATCTGACTCTCTGTCTTACCTCTAATTCTTCCAATAGTAACCCTACCATACACTTTACCTGGTATACTCAGTAAACTTTTTTTTTTTCAACAAAAAACTTGCCGCATCCCACTGAGGAAGGGCGACCTAAAAAGAAAAACAAAAGTTTTTCTTTTTAAATTTAGTAATTTCTACAGAAGGGGTAGCCCCCTGCTCCCGGCATTTTAGTCACCTCTTATGACACACTTGGGTTACAGAGGAAGAATTCTTATCCACTTGCCCATGGAGAAAAGAGGAAATAAAGAAGAACAAGACCTATTAAAAAAATAGAAGTAAACCCAGATGAGTGTGTATATACAGTAGGGCCCTGTTTTACAGCGATTCGCCTAATGGCATTCTGCTAATATGGCAATCAAAACTTGCTATATGGCTCCCGGTTTTTCTAATACGGGGTGCCCCACAAGGTTTGTTTACATTCTCTGTAAGCACATCTCTCTGTTATGTCTGGAAACTTTTCAAAATTTCAAGTGTTTTAAAGTTATTGCATATTTTATATGTACTCTGATAATTATACTTAAGTGTACCTATACCTAAATATACTTACACATTGTGCTGGCGTGCAGGTACACAATAAAATCACTAAGAGTCTCTCTACTCTTGAAGCCATATTAATTATAATACGTAATCTCATGGGCACATTAAATGTCGTATGTATTATGTTAATATAGACATTTCCATTAATCCATCTATGATATTTTTTCAAAATTATATAATAAACACACTTCGTAACATATAAACATGATAAATACACCCCACAGTAGAATAAATTAACACAAATATGAAATATGATAGCCCGGCAACTTGTAGGACTTGTGGTAGTCAGGCGACTTGTATTCCAGCATCAATTCAATTCAATTCAAAGTTTATTCTCTATAAGGATTACAATGGTGAGTTTACAGAATTTGGTTATTGTGTGGTTTACATGTAGTAAAATAATAATTACAGAGTGTACCACTAGAACACCTAGCATGGCTAGGCATTTCGGGCAGACTTAGATTAAATCTTAAGTTTAAAATATTACAAAATTATGAGGTAAGTTGGTATTATGGCTAAGTGACTAAATACTAGTTTGTGAGTTTAGCAATGTGAATGCTTTTGTTTTGGCACTATACATAGTTTCAGTATTGGAGTATCACAGGCCAACTTATGACTAGTTAAGATTCATTATTTTGAGATTGAGATTGATATTTCTGTTTATGGTGAGTGTAAGTGTGAACCACCAGGTGGTATTCGTATAATTAGTTGACAGGGTGTATCAGGGAGATAAGATGTTTTCTGATTGTAGTTTTGAAGGTGATGAATGTGTCTGCAGTTTTAGAATTTTCAGGTAGGGTGTTCCAGATTTTAGGGCCTTTGACATACATTGAATTTTTGTAAAGGTTTAGTCGGACATGGGGAATGTCATAGAGATGTTTGTGTCTGGTGTTGTGCCTATGGGTTCTGTCACAACTATCAAGAAAGCGTTTTAGGTCAAAGTTAATATTGGAATTTAAGGTCCTGTAGATGTAGATTGCACAGTAGTAAGTGTGGATGTACTGAACAGGGAGTAAGTTTAGATCTATGAAGAGTGGGGGGGTGTGTTGCCAGGGATGGATTTAGTGATTATTCTTACTGCAGCTTTTTGTTGGGTTATTATTTGCTTTAGGTGTGTTGCTGCAGTTGAGCCCCAAGCACAGATAGCATAGGTGAGATATGGATATATAAGTGAATGGTATAGTGTGAGAAGGGCAGTTTGCGGCATATAGTATCGTATCTTGGAGAGGATCCCAACCGTTTTGGATACTTTTTTGGTTATGTGTTGGATATGGGTGCTGAAGTTCAGGTTGTTGTCAAGGTATAGGCCTAGGAATTTGCTCTGATTATGCCTGGCAATTAGAGTGTTGTCAATCCTAATGTTAATTTGCGCATCTCCTGCTCTGCTACCAAACATAATGTAGTAGGTTTTGTCAGCGTTAAGCGTAAGTTTATTGGCTGTCATCCAAGTCGATATTTTGATCAGCTCCTCATTAACAATGGTATTGAGGGTGGCAAGATTAGGGTGAGAGATGACATAAGTCGTGTCGTCAGCAAAGAGAATGGGGTTCAGGTGTTGAGATACGTTTGGAAGATCATTGATGTATATGAGGAAGAGCAGGGGACCAAGGACACTTCCCTGCATCAGAGAAAATGTGTACACAATAGTATTACTGGGAGTAACTATAAAATTATTCCTCTCATATGCCTTCACTCAGAGTGTCATTTCTTCTAAAAATTGTGTTACATGAGAATGGGAGTGTTTCTGTTTGTTTATTCTACTGTATCAACGTGGAACAACTTGTACACAATGTAAAGTGTTTGTATTATGGTATAATACATATGTGTATGAACAAAAACCAGACGTGTTCGCCTGCTTTGTTTACATTATATATGGGTGGGGTGGGGTGGGGAGAGCTGCCTTGGCTGGCTGCCTGACTTCCTACAAATAAAACTCACCTCTCACCCTACACGAAGACTACAAATATTTTAAAGTAAGTAATGGGTGTATTGTTTGTGTATTTTACATTTTATTGTTTTTAATGCCTAGTTCTATTGCTAACTTAATATATGTTAGTGTAAACTTGTTATCTGGCATTTATTTGCATTTATAAGTGGAAAAAATGGCGTCCTGCTTTCCGGCGATGTCTGCTTTCCGGCAGTAGCCTGCAACCTAACCTGCCATATAAGTAGGGCCCTACTGTATATTATGCATTTAGATGCACGTGTAGTGTGACTTAAGTGTAAATAGAAGTAGCAAGATGTACCTGTTATCCAGTGTGTTTATGAAACAGAATAAAGACACCAGCAATCTTGCCATCATGTAAAACAATTACGGGTTTCCTTTTCACATTCACTTGGCAGGACGGCAGTACCTTCTTGGGTGGTTGCGGTCTGCCAACCTACTACCTAGGTCAGTAAATTTGTTTCCCTATAATGTTTGATATTCCAGTGGCAGTTAATTGATAATGTTTAATTGAAAAAAAACTTTTAGTGTCATTTATTCAGTTGCTGACTTGCCAGAGAGATGCTGACATCATAGTTCTGATGACCCTGCCAGATTTCAACGTCTTCACCCCATCCCCTTTATTGAGTGAAGGCACTATACTTCCCACCTCCAGGGCTCAAGTCTGACTAACTGGTTTTCCCTGAATCCCTTCATAAACAAAACATTCCTTATGCTAACAGTACATCAAGCAGTGAAAATTACTTGCCTCTATTGTGCCTACACAAACCTGTTGGATGTTCAAGCCCCAAGCAGTCAACAACCTCTTCTATTCCCCTCCCTCCAACCTTTCCTAAGATGATCCCTACCCATCCTTCCCTCCATTCCTGATTTGTATGCCCTAGTCATCCTATTTTATTCCATCCTCTCTGAATGTCCAGAATACACCAGTAATCCCTCATCAGTCTTCTGAATTATACTCTTGGTAATTCCCCCCACACCTTTTTCTTATCTCCAAGCTCAAAATTCTTTGCAGAATTTTCGCACCTCACACCGCTCTCAAAGACAACAACTCTGTTACCTTAAGCCGCCTCCTCGCTGTGATGTTTAAAATACATTTTTGATATTTCAATTAATTTTTTTTTTTTTTTTGCAGGATCAAGGTCATCTTGATGAGGCATTGCACTTTCTTCAGCAAGCCACCACCTTAAGACCAGATTTTGCTGCAGCATGGATGAACTTAGGCATTGTTCAAGCATCATTGGGCGACCATGCATCAGCTGAGAATAGTTACCTCACTGCTCTGACTCACAGATCTGTATGTAGCACTAATGTATTTCATTTATTTTTTCACTTTTAAAATTGTTCAGTTTTGTATAGGACACATCAAGAGGTATAAATCTAGATTAGCCCTTTTTTTGGTAGCGATTACATCACATTAACAAGAACGTGCTCTTTGTTTGATAACATATTACCCCCATTGCATCCTGTTATTCATCATAATCCATATCTACATCTAAAAGGGTTCAAATAATTTCCACATTATCAATTGTGAAGGCTTACTCAGCCCTGTAACAACTTCAGTCAGTACAGTGGACCCCCGCTTAACGATCACCTCCCAATGCGACCAATTATGTAAGTGTATTTATGTAAGTGCGTTTGTACGTGTATGTTTGGGGGTCTGAAACGGACTAATCTACTTCACAATATTCCTTATGGGAACAAATTCGGTCAGTACTGGCACCTGAACATACTTCTGAAATGAAAAAATATCGTTAACCGGGGGTCCACTGTATTACCAAGGCTGGCTCCTCCTCAGGAAAATTAATGAATAGAAAAAGAAATAATAACAGACAGTGATAAACACTTTATTATTTAGAAACAGAAAATGTAAAACAATAAAATATGAATGGGTATCCTAATTGAAAGAAAAATGAAATGAAAAAAATTACATTTTAACTCAACGCTAATATAGGTATATTGTGGTAATGGGATGTCAGGTGTTGGTGACACTGAGTGTTGTTGAAATCGTAGCCGTTGCTGATGGGGGGGGTAGCAGGTGTTGGTGACCACCACTGGCTCGTTCTTCACTAAGTATAGCCATGTGTAATTACTTCAGATGACAGGAAAACAGGCTCGTTACCACTGCTATGATGAGGGGTTAGGTCCTGTGTTGGCTTACATAACAGGTAAGTAGACTAAACATGGGACGTCTCAGGACGTTAGTCCGTCTCCTTCTATTCTTCTCGTTGGTTGGCAGGTGACCCTCTCTGTCATTCCAAGCTGTAGAGAGAGATTACCCACTGCTTAAGAAATCACTCTCCATGATAAGTAGAATACCTAAAAGATGTGGTGATTATTAAAACATTTAACAGATAAAGAATGAAAGGACTAAGTTAATTATTGGTCAAAAGTGAAGCTTTCAACCAATAAGTCCACCAAAATATGATCAGGCGTGTACTTACAGTAGTGTTGGGAGCTGTGAGTCGAGTGATTTACTGTTTGACCGGAGCCCCACATGTCACCTTTGGGGGGGGGGGAGAGGGAGGGGAAGGGATAGCGGGAGCTAGACTGACCCTACCTTAACAAGCAGCCGGCAATCAAACTATCACTTTCGGGAAGGGGGAAAAAGGGGGGAGGGGGAATAGCGGGAGCTGGACTTACCCTACCTTAACAAGTAGCCGGCAGTGAAACTATTGTTACTATACACTCCCTCGCTACTCCTATCTATTGAACTTTTCCCTCACATCAATTTTAATGTTTTTTCCAACTTTTGCACTTGACCCTTCATTTACATGTTAATTTGTTAGCTTGTGAGTTACAGGTTGAACTAAGGTCCCATCAATCTCTGTTCTTTTTCCATAGTACACTGAAAAAAATTATTATGAGTAAGAAGATTGAAGCAGTTGTTGGAAGAAACATGATGACTGTGATGATATTGAAAGAAAGATGTAGGGCTAATTTAGGAGGGCAGTGCCCATGTGTTATGGAGGTTTGTAGTTTTAGGAGGATAGGTTGAAGGGTAAAGAGCAATAATTGATGGAATAAAACAAAAATGGTGATTATGTGCGAGAAAATTGGCATGTGAAAGGGTCTTGCGATGTTAACCCTTTTGCTGTCGAGACCCCTACTTGCAAACTTGCTCTCAGTCTCAAAGAATTTTCAAAAGAGAAATTATTTTTTCTTATGAAATGATAGAGAATCTTTTCCCTATGGTAATGAAACCAGAAGTACGAAATTTAATGGAAAACTTACGGAATTACTCTCGTGAAGTTAGCTGTCTCAGTGATATTTACGCATCGGCGATTTCACCCACTTTGCGCCTTATTTTCGGCCAGTTTCATTGTTCCAGTCATGCAAACTCATAGTTCTTTCACTAGAATTCCTTTTGTTCTATCGATTGAGTACAAGAACTGCCCATTTACCTATTTCAACTACCAAATAAAGTGATCAGAAATTGATAATTTGGCCAATTTCATGCAAAATTCAAGGAAGGTCAGTTTCAAAGTAGGGTCCAGAATTAACAGTGCAAACATTTCTAGCACTGAAATAACAATTTCTCTGTTCATTAGTCATATCTCAAGGCTTCTCTTATATTACACTTGCTTTCCAATTTGAATTTTTATTCACACAAAAAATAGGAGATTTACTGTTACACAGACTACTGCATTATTGTAAAAATGGTATAAATAATATCAGCACATTTGTGAAAGCATATTAGATCCACCAGTTGGCGTGTATTGGATGCATGATGTGATTTGTTTATTCTTGAATATCGGCAAAAATCGAACATTTCCATAACCTTGAGCTCAATTTCAAGGTACATTTAGTCTGTAAACCATTCAGAATCATCTCTATTTCTGTAATATATCTTCCATTCTATCAAATGAGACAAAAGAAAACAAGAATACAATCATAAATACCATACAAAAATACACCACAAAGTTGCTGTTTTAAACTAAAAACACAGTCGCAATTTTTTTTCTCATTATGCACTGCTTGCTGCATGATAATTTTTTTATACTGTGCACATTGACCACTCAGACCCAGCTATCTCCCACAAGATTGGAAGCCACTAGAATTTTAGTGTACCATTACGGGACTAACACTAGCTTGCAAACCATAATATTACAGGACTGACAGTGAAAGGGTTAAAATAATATGAGGAAGGTTGATTGTAGTAGAGGGAAAAGAAAGGGTAATATAACTGGTGAATTAATGTATAGTAGAAATTAAAAGAATGGTTGAGGCATTATCAACAAATTTTTCCAATAATAAAAAATGTGTTGATGAGTGATAAATAAAGTGAGAGAACTAAGTGAGCAAATTGATGTATCTGTTAACCATTTAACTCTGTCCAGTGTACTAGTACCTAGGTGATGACTATGTGTCTAACATGCATTCATATATGACAACTACCAGTAGTTTTGACCTCATCACAACTGTTTGGGTCTCCTACGACCTCTTCATGCCTTTGAAAAATATTTAGGCCAAGATGGAACATTGCATCATGGGTAACTTTGCAAAAGTAGCATAAGTAAACAATGAAACCAGGAACTGTTGTTCTACCACCAGCTTCCCTACCAGCAAACAGGGTGTGGAACTTGCATGAAGATGCCTTATTCATTCCAAATATATTACCCTTTCATGCTACTATTAGTGGAATTCAGCCGAAAAACACTATGTAGATTTAACCTAGGATAACCCAGTAAAGTAAAACTGTCTTGATGAGTATTACACATTGAAATACCTACAGTGCTAGTCACAGCATAATGCCTTGACGAAAATCAAAGGCCTACCATACAGGGGAGTCTTGTTTTTTTTGTCAGTGCATTATGCCAGGTAACAGCCGTTAGCATGACATCACGGCCTGCCACCACACTCCACAGTGACTCCTCAGTGCTCACGTGGCTGTCGTGGTAAGAGGAAGTGTTGCACTTTTGTCTCTCGTCCGCCCCATCTTTTGTCCGGTGTTCCCTTTGGTTTTGGGGCTATACATGTTTGATTATGGATAAAAGGAAGTCTTTAACACCTGAAACTATAGCTCAACTCATAGGGCTTCACATAGTTGGGCACCAGACGAAAGAAATAGTGGAGATTGTTGGTGTTTGTGAGCATTCAGCAAGGAACTGGGTACAGCACTTCAAGGCTGGTGGCGGTGTCGAGTTACCGTCTGCCAAAGTTCAGCCTGGCCTCTGTGTTAAAGAAGCAGTTAGAAAGTACACCTAAGATAACTGCTAGAGAATTGAAAGAAAAGAACCCACATCTTATCTCAGAGGTGTCTGTAAGAACTGTTAACAGACGTGTGTCATAACTGGGCTACAGTAGTCACCCCTAAGTTAAGAAACCGATCCTCTCCAAACCACAGAAGAAACACAGACTGGATTATGCAAAGAAATATCTTCACTGGAATCCTCAACAATGGTCTGAAGTACTTTGGAGTGATGAAGCAACCTTCACCATCACCTGTAACCGTGGGGGACGTGTTGACTGGCCCAGAGGTAGTGACCCGCTAGACCCACGCTACACCTGTGGGACCACCAGATACCCAGACTCACCCATGGTTGAAGGTGTTTCAGTGCTCAGTGTGTTGGTGAACTCATTATGCTTCTCAAAAACCAGTATATGAACCACTATAATTACCTGGAGTTATTGTGTGACAATTTACCTGAGGCATTTGACAAGTGTTGGGCTACAGTTTTTATTCAGGGCAGTGCACCGTGTTATGCCGCCAAATCTGTAGTTCTGTTACTTAAGGGCTATGAAGTGAGGTTCTTTAATGACTGGCCAGGCAATTCCCCAGGCCTAAACCCTATTGAGAACCTCTGGTGAATAGTGAAATGAAGTTTACTGGGCAAGGATATCAGTTCCATCCCATGGCTAGAGGCTGCTCTACGTGAGGCATGGAATAATATACCTCCCCAAACCCTCAAGACTTTGTGAGAGAGTCTTCCTACATGGCTGAGGGACTTTATTAAGATTAAAGGACACAGCACCAAGTATTAAAACCTCAGTAGATGTGCAAATATATATATTATAATCTTTCATGGTATGTGTTTGTGTTTTGGTACATGTGTGGGGGAGGGGCGGCATAATGCCGTGACTAGCACTGTATGTGCCTTCAGTTGTCTTGAAAGCACACGGGCATAATAGACACAGAAATTACATTAAGTTTATATAACCCAGGATATTCCCTTGAACCTAATTTTTTTTTTTTAACACGTCGGCCGTCTCCTACCATGGCAGGGTGACCCAAAAGAAATAAAAACCCAAAAAGAAAGAAAAAACTTTCATTATCATTCAACACTTTCACCATCA